AGGTGCTGGGGTGAGTGTGCTGGGGTGCCGGGGGTGTTGGGGTGTGGGCAGTGCTGGGGTGAAGGTGCTGGGGTGAGTGTGCTGGGGTGCTGGGCAGTGTTGGGGTTCCGGGTGGTGTTGGGGTGAGTGTGCTGGGAAGCCAGGCCCCTCTCTGGCCCCTCCACCCCAGCCTGGATCTGCAGGGCTCCTCTCTTCTCACCCTCTGGTCTCTGTTCAAATCGCCCCTCCTAGGGCGTTCCCTGACCCCAAGCCTCCCGAGCCCCAGCCTCTCTCTGTAGCAAGCAGCCCCACCTGCATTTGCTGTGTCACCAGACTGGTCTCTCCAGGGACACCTGCCCATCAGATGCCTGTGAGAAAAATTCAAATTCCACAGGGTTTTATTGTGGTTTTGTGCTCCTAGGACCATGAGGGAATGCAGCTTCCTTCAAGTACAAAAATCTTTATCGTTGATATTTAAGGTTTCATCAGTTCTGTATCCCAGGGACAAAGACAGCAAGACCCAGGCTGCCCCCTCTGGGTGTGAGGGACCAGCTTGGTGAGGAGGGGGGTTGGGGACATTGACCTAGCAGGAGGCCCTGACTGTCCCACTCAGCCCAGAAACCACCTGGGAGGCTTCTGTCTTCCGTGGAGGGGCCACGTCTCTCACGCCCAAAAATGTTTGCAGCTAGGTGTTAGGGTATTAGGTGGTTTAAGAACATCAGAACCATGGCAATATTTTTGTACTTAGAATTTGAGCATGTTTGGTATTTTCAGTAGCTTGTTTAAAAAATTCCAGTGGAGGCTGGGTGCCATGGCTCATGCCTATAATTCCAGCACTATGGGAGGCTGAGGTGGGCAGATCACCTGAGGTTAGGCGTTCGAGACCAGCCTGGCCAACATGGCGAAACCCCATCTCTACTAAAAATATAAAAAAATTAGCCGGGCGTGGTGGTGTGCACCTGTAGTCCCAGCTACTCGGGAGACTAAGGCAGGAGAATTGCTTGAGCCCAGGAAGTGGAGGTTGCAGTGAACCAAGATCACGCCACTGCACTCCAGCCTGGTGACAAAGCGAGACTCCGTCTCAAAAATAAAAATTCCAGTAGAGGAATACTCTTGTAATGCAGTGTGCAGTTGAGCAGTTGCTGACTGCTGATTTAGAGTTGAAATCCGACTACATTTATGTCTAGTCTTGGACAGTGGAGAATATTTCAGCCTCGTTGTATTAATTGGTTTAACAGAACTGAAGTCAGTATTTGGAAATGGTTTGTTATATTAAACCCTGAAGTACTTGAGGCTGCGCGTAGTGGCTCATGCCTGTAATCCGAGCATTTTGGGAGGCCGAGGCAGGTAGATCACTGGAGGTCAGGAGTTCGAGACCAGTCTGGCCAACATGGTGGAACTCCATCTCTACTAAAAATACAAAATCAGCTGGGCGTGGTGGCGGGCGCCTGTAATCCCAGCTACTCCGGAGGCTGAGGTGGGAGAATCCCTTGAACTCGGGAGTTGGAGGTTGCAACCAGCGAGATGGTGCCACTGCACTCTTGGGCAACAGAGCGAGACTCTGTCTCAAACAAAACAACACAAACAAAAACCCGTAAGTACTTAAAAAGAAAATGAAGAGATTACATTTATAAGGTAAATTTAAAGTATTTGAGAGATTTTACCAAATTGTAAAAAGAGATTGCTAAATTTTTGTTACACTTATACTCAGGATATGCTTAAGGGAGAGCGATGAGTTTTAATATTTAATGAATGTTAATCTGCGAATTTCTTAAACCCACGAGCCCCGCCCCC